AAGAGCGGTGAGTGGATTTTACATAAAGAAAGATAGAATGTTATCCATGTTTTTATTGTTGCTTTAATGTTAATTTCTAAGCCTGGATGAATAGAAGGTCCTTGATCCTAGACAACCTTTTTGAAGCTAAGGATATTATCAAATATGTCTATGTATATCATTTATTTATTTTATATAGGTTCAATACACTACTTGATCCCTTAGGTTTTTTTAATTAGGTCCCTAAACTAAAAAAAATTGTAATTAGGTTCTTTATCTCTTTATATTTTTGTAATTTAGTTGTTAGGGTTAGAAATTTCTTTACAATCCATGAAATTTCACAAAATATTTTTGATATACATGAATGATGACAGAGAATAATAATCAAATATAGTTTCCCAAATATGCGGATATTAAGAATATTTTATGAAATTTCATCTATTGTAAATGAATTTCTATCCACATGGGACTAAATTACAAAAATATAAAAAGATGAGAAATATATTACAATTTTTTTTTTTAATTTTGGGACTAATAAAAATTTCTAAAAAGTTCATAGACCAAATGAAGTATTAAACTTTTTATATAAATGGGGAAAAATTAACTGATTCCTCTTGCTTCAGGCCAAGATGAGGAGTTCATCATGGTGGGTCCGGTTTTTCCTCCAGATTAACTTGGAGGAGAATGAAGCTGCTTCTAAGAAGTTTGAACAGGCTTCAACCAAGAGTTCATATGTTCCAAGATGCCAGGTATTCCACCTCAAGTCACTCCATTGACTTATGTGATGGTGCAACATTGGAGCTCTGATTTCTGCTTCTCCATTTTCATTTAAAGCGCTTTCTTCTATAAAGGTAATTTAATTCTTTGAAATATACTCGCCATAGATGGTGTATCACTTTTGTTGATAGATTTTTATTCTTTGATTTCCAGCCCCTGGCTGTAAAAGACAAATCAAATTTAGTATTTGACTAAATTATTAGTTTAATCAGGCGATCAGTGATTGTTGTGCTAAAGTAATACTCCTTTTATTGCAATATAAATTAAATTTCATTATGTTTTCTTGAATAATCTGTCAAGATGGATAAACTACATCGTTCTCCTTTAGTTTACGTCTATCATACTCTATTGCTGTTGTAAAATTAGGAATAATCGCATTTGATTCAGTCTATTGATTGTACACACTACAAAGGGAAGTGCAATAAATGAACGGGAATGATATTTGGTTCCACTAAATCAAGCAAAAATAAAGTAAATAAATAATTTATGTTGTTGATGAGACATTCTATCATATACATGATTTTGCTATACATTTATATGTAATGTTGACTGTTGATGTTGATTTTCTCATCAATTATTGAGATTACTTACTTTATCTTTTTCATTTTAGAGGCTAGATCGATGATCATGATACTCAAATTAAATAGTTTGTACTTTTTCTTTATTTTTATTTTTAAGGTTATTTTTAAAGTTGGGTTATTATGGACTCCGGTTATTACAATGAACGGGATATTTCCTATTTACTTTACAGATAATTCAAAAATGTAAACATATACATATTATAAAAAATGGCAATCTTTTTAATCTAACTAGTTGAATAAACAGAACTTAGCCTGGTTAGTTTTGGGATTGACAAAAACTGAGTTTGTTCTATTATGTACTTAAAATCTGTTTGAAGAAACTTTTCTAAAAGTATTTTTAAAAGAGAAAAATAAAAAGAAGAATTATATAAATTTATTTATAAGTTAAAATCAATTTATAAAAAGGTTAATTTGTAGAAATATTTTTTAATTAATTTTTAAAATCTTATTTTTAACATATACATGACATAAAACTAAGGTTTAACTTTATCATATGATAACGCACATACTTTATCCACTATCCAGAGTTGGATTGAAAAGTGAAACACATTGAGAATCAGACGTTGGTAGCACGTATAAATTACTGCAACAAAATAGAATGTAGTTTGATTGAGATGGATGTTAAGGAGCAGGTACTATTCGACATTACGACTCCTTGTTAAAAACGAAATTGAAAAGAAGAAAAAAGGGCAATAAATTAAAAAAGGAAGACAAATAAAAAATTGATATTTTATTTCACCCTATTATTTTCTTTTTATCTGTTTATATTTAATCAAACAAGTTTAATAAGATTGATCTATTAATAAAAAAAATTTAGATAACAATGTCTTGGATTAAAACTTTATTGACGTTTATATATCAAAACATTTAATAAAAAACACGGAACAACTTCGTTACAATAATTTGATTAGAATAAAAGAAATGTGTTGAGAACCAAAAATATATAAATTTTAATTGTTCTTGCAATGAACACTCATTCTCTCCTTTTTCTTGACTAGTCTCCTTGAGTCCCAAATGTTGGTTGATTCTTGTCTTCGAGTGGTGGTGAGGGTACCTGTAAAAACACTTTGACGCTTAAGTGAGTATTTGATATAGAGCAATAAAGGTTAATGTATTAAATAATCATACTTGTTTCTGTTTCATCACCCACGTATTTATAATGACATGTTTGGGCCTGATGGGCCTTTTGTCTTGGAATATGGATAATTTGGGATAACTGTCTGTTAATTAGTGTTAGGCATTGATTAGTCATGTCGATCAGGGTTATGATCGAAGGGGTGTTTCGGTTTCCCCCTTGATCGAAGGGGTGTTCGACTTCCTCCTTGGTCGAGGGGGTGTTCGGTTTCCTCCTTGGCCGAAGGGGTGTTCGTCCTCCTTGTTAGTTGAAGAGGGCATTCGGCCTCCTTATTAGACTGCTTAGTTGGGCGCGCCTTGGCCTTCGTCGGACAAGCTTATGGCCGAAGGGGTGTTCGGCTTCTTTCTTGGTCGGAGGGGTATCCGGCTTTCATATTAGCCGAAGGAGTGTTCGGCTCCTTTCTTGGCCTAAGGGGTATCCGACCTTCTTATTAGCCGGAGGGGTGTTCCCGTTACATTGCCCCCCAAGCCCAAGGATATATGATGAAGGGGTTTGATCTTGGTGACATATCATGTTTGAAGGTGTGTAGGCCAGGCGCGTGAGTTGGGCTCTCGGGAGTCGCGTCCCCTCGTTGGTGTGATCGTTGCATGCTGTGCTGCCTTAGGGATGCGTGCTTAAGTGTACAGGCGTGGCTGTTGGCTTTTCACATCCAAAGGCATTTATGAGGGGCGTTTCGTGTTTCCCTTGGCTTCTATATATATATGGGAGTGGTGTGTGGGCCTTCCGCGTGCCCTTATTACCAATATTTTTCTACCCTGAAGTCCTTATCCCGGTTGTAATCTGAGTGCTCGTCAAGGTTAGTTCATTCGGTCAAATCCTGTGGTTAAATGGTCGGTGAGGAAATAGTTCTGTCTTCAGGGTCCTCGGCTGGTACTAGTGGTTGGCGCCTAACGCCGATATCGAGTTATCCGAGGATTCGTCCAAGCGACTGAGGGTTCAACTAGTGGGGGTTTGTGGGGGATTCATCCGGCTCAGACCTTCTTGATGCCGAGATGGATCCCCGAGATTATAGGCAAAGGTTCCCTCCTTGTGAGATACCGGGATATGAGTGGGTGGATGGGGAGGTTGTGGTCTACTTCTCGCGTTTTTATGAGAGCCGCCGTGGAATGCCTCTTGGGGGTTTGTCAACTAGCCCGATGGGAAGACACGGATCCCTATCTGGTTATGCTTTGTCGGTGCCGGGCTGAAGGTCCTGGGGAGACCGACTTGGTTTTCCTCGCGAAGCGAGGAGATCAGGGGATTTCTTTTATGTGTACGAGTGCTTTTTTAAAGAGCTCGACATGTCTCTACCCTTTGATGATTTTCAGATGGGTGTACTTCGTGTGCTAAATGTCGCGCCGACGCAATTGCACCCGAATAGGTGGGTGGCTGTGCAGGCTTTTCGTGTATTCTGTAAATACCACTACATAGAGCCTAGTGTCGGTTTGTTTTTACACTTCTTTTGTACCTGCCCTTCCCATAAAACGGTCAAATGGTTATCCTTAGTTAGGCACCCGGAACGGGCCCTTTTGAAACCGTTCACCTCGTCCTTCAAAGGGTTCAAGGCTGGCTTTTTGAAAGTCATCATAGACCCTGTTGTCGGCCGCAACTACTTTTATGATTCCAAAGGGCACCCTCTGTTACCATTCTATTGGACCCAGGTGCCTCGGAAGTATGATGAGTACTTGGTCGAGATGCTGACCGAGGCGGAGGTGTTGGCCCTAGAGTACTTAAAAAGTCTACCGCGGGGGTTCCGACCCGGTTTCTCGTTCTTTTGCCAAAATCACCTTGGCCCCGTTTTGAATTAGATGGTATGTGTTTGCTTTTCTCGCTCGGTATTCTTGTTAAGTTGATGTGTGACTATTTGTTGCTTGCAGGTTAGATGGCTCAGCAAGGACTCGGCCTCTCGTACCGTCAGGCCCTTCGAAATCGGGCCCCCGCAGGGACTACGGCCGAGAATCACCGAAGTGTGGCCGTTGACCAAGTTCCCGTTCTTACCAAGCCTCAACCTCCTCCCCGAGTCATGGAGTTGCCTGACCCCAACGATAAGAAGAGGAAGGATAAGGGAAAAAGAAAGGCCGATGTTGCCGCTTTTGACGCGCCTCGGCCTAAGCATCGGCGACCTGAGGGTTCGTCGGATTTGGCCGTCCCATCGACCATTGTGGCTAAGGATTTTCTTTTCGAGGAGATTCGACCTTCTCAGATGATGTTGTCCAACCTTCTTTCCGAACAGGGGCATCGCATGTTGGATTCGGCTGCCCCCTCGGCCCAATGGGCCATGGCCTGCGAATTACAGATACATGCCACTGCTATCCTTGGAAGCTTGTCCTGGAGCCCATGGCCGATATCCATAACCTTCGGAAGAGTTTGGAGGAGACAAAGGCGGCCTTTCAGGAATCGGTGGAGGCGCATGAGGCAACTTCAAACAAGAAGTTGCAACTGGAGGCCGAGGTAGCTCATTTGAAGGAGGCCCTCGGCGATATGGAAGGCCAAGCAATAACGGTCGAGGGGGTCGAGAGGATGAGGGTGCAAGAGATGCAGGAGGTCTTGGCTCGGGAGGTGATAGACTATGGCCAAGGCCAAGGAATCCAAGAGGAATCAGGTAGAACAGTTTTTCCGCTGTTCATTTTCTACCTATTACAAAAACAAGGCACACAATGATGATAATCATATGTAAAATTTATGAATGAAAACTTCTAACAGAATATTTTATTACAATTACAACATTACATCTTATTAAATACATTATTAAATACATGATCTAATTATTAGTATAATTTGTCCACATTTCATATGCGATAGCATCCTGTATAGATGACCCTTCCCTATGATCATCCTCACGAGCTTGAGTGGGCATGGTATCCATAGGTTGTTCCATCAACTCTCGATCGACCTCTGCTAACAGCGATTCATCATTGTCTACGCCTCGAAGAAAATTGTGTAAAATGCAACATGCTAGTACAATATTCGTCATTGTATCGAACGAATAATGCGGTTCTGTTCCACTAGCTATTATAGGAAATCTTTTCTTCAAGACGCCAAATGTTCTTTCAATCACATTTCTAAGTGACGAATGTCGATGGTTAAACAATTCTCTTGGGTTTTGTGGAGCTCTTCGAGAATACTCTTTAAGGTGATATCGAACCCCTCGATACGGCGTAATTATTTGTCCTTTTAACATAAATCCAGCATCCCCCAAGTAGTATTTACCTAATTAAAGTCATTGAAGTTATACTCATTATAATATCGTAAGTACGTTACTATACACTAATTACGAAGTAAATAATAACTAACCTTGTGGTATGATAAGTGGATCCTCTCTACCTAGGACATCCTTTAATATTCTTGAATCAGATGCTGTTCCTTCCCACCCTCCTAGAACATATGTGAATTTCATGTCGAAATCACAAGCTGCGAATACGTTTTGGGTTGGCCAATCTTTTCTTCCA